ATGTATGTGTGTGTGTTGTGGATCATTACATTAAAAACAACCACTGGCTGATTTTTACTAGCACTGCATCATTAAAGAATACAAGTTTAGACACTGATTTGCAAAACCAAATTGCTGTGCTATTTCTATAAAAAAAAAAAAAAACAGTTTGTGAAAATCTTTACTTCAGCCAAATTGAAGTGTTTTTTTATGCTGTCTTACCTGAGGTAGCACCGGTCCAACACCAGGYAATCTTTCCTAGCGAGACACTGCTGTTAGACAGATACACCTRCAACAGGATGCAGCTAATAAGATTTAGACCCACATGCTGTCTGGAAGCTGGGGGCAGAACTGATGCTCAACAACACTCTATGGAAACTAAAGATTCTCACACATCATCCTGAGCTCTCCCGAAGCTCTGACTCCACTTTCTCTCACCTATTATGACCCTCAGCAACTCATATTACAGTCTGTGTTTCTTTGATGGCATCAAGCAAACTTTTCCCTTTTGGTGCTCATGTTTCGGTCGCAGCTTGAATGTCACGTTGGAGCTYCTTTTGTTACTTGTCATAAAAAACAAAAAAAACACGAAGCCAGCGTTAAAACTGCCTCATTTCTGCAAACCTACAATCAGGCCTGCGGGTTAAAGCAATGCTACTTGTACAGAGTAGCATCATGTCCCCACAGGATCACTTTACTCTGGAAAAATCTCAAAACTGCAATTGTCCCAGAGCGTCTGACTCAATAGAMGAGAAGGAAACCGTTAAATTAGTAGGTCAGATCTAGAAATGTGCTTTCAGACAATTAATAGTTTAAGATGCTAGCCCTAATTTAGGATTTAACCAACTCAATGACTGCTCACCACAAAGTTCAGTCATTTTCTAAACCTAATTTTGACTTTTCAGACACAGAAGCTCAATTTCAGCTCATTTAGCTCAGCACTGAAATATAACCCTGAATAATTGATTATTCATGATATTAGAATTAATATTTTATTTCAACACTGAATTAACACATAGTAGTTTTACAGGCGCCCTGATCTCATTTTTATATATAGAAAGTCCCAGATTCCCATTATGCTTCCACATTTTACACTGTGCTATAACTTTGTTTTAGAGGAATTCTTTTGGGGAAAACATGGACTGAAGTGAACTCAGGTTGATTAACAACACACATTGAAAAGACAAAAGAACAAATAAAGGACAGAGTTGCTATCAACTGGCTACAGTCATACAGTGACTGCTGGCTGAAACAGTTTATGTTGCAGTTCTAAGAATATACATTTTTGGATGCATTGAAAAGAAATCAGTTTTAATCATCTAGAAATATGCTATTTATTTTAGAAAAARCCTTTAAATTTATTATGAGATGCAGTTAAAAAATGAAATTTAAAAGCCTGAAATTGTATTTACCAGTGTTTCTTTCTTAATCCTGGTCTTCACAGGCCTCTGGCCTGAATGTATTAAATGTCTTCTGCTTTGGCACACCTGGTTTAAATTAACAAGTCGTTAACAGACTTCTGAAGACTTGCTGAGGAAGTCATTTGATCGTTTCAGTCAGATGTGCTGGACATGTGACACAAAGCATTGGAGACCAGTTTGCTCAAAGGGCTGAGAAAAATTGGGGTGTAGTTGTATTTATATATTTTTTTCTCTCTTTTTATTTGTTTTATTAAAATTTTAAATAAAATCTGATATTGTTACACTTAATTTTCACCTTAACAAATAAAAAAGTGCTAAACCAAAATTAAATGACACAATACAAGTTTTTAATTGATTTTTAATGTATAAAAACATCTAACTACAATTGTTAGCTGTCCAATAAMTAATGTATTAACATACATGGTTATGTACAAAATAAAAACAGTGTCAGAGAGGTCATCCTTCACCGATATTATAAGTTMTTTTGCTCGTTCTACATAAATTATTTGATCTAACCTGAAAACAAAAGTAGACTTGGCCCCTGAAGGATCAGTACAGGCTGTTAAGTGGTGCAGGAAAAAAGGATGTGAAATCCCTTAGGAGACCTCAAAACAGCCTGCAATGCTAGTTACGCAACTGACTCGGTTTTCTGATGTGAACTGAAACTTGTGCAGAAATAACCTGGCGTTCAAAGTGTGGACAGTCGTCTCTGCTGGATCTTAAAAATTCAAAGCTGGAGAGGAAAAGTGAACTAAATATAAACATAAATTACACGGTGCAGCAAAGTCTAAACATGGAGGGCCACGATGCTGCATGTTTGTATCCCAGCTTCAACACACCTGATCCAGTTATTAAATAGAAGCCTGTTAATCTCACATTTATTCAAATCAGGTGCTAAAGCAAAGAAACCTCTAAAACGTGCAGGATAGTGGCCCTCCAGGATCAGGATTGTTCTAGACTCTTATAAATGCTTCCAATCATTTATCACCAAACATAAATGTTTTTTTTCCTCAAGAGGACAAAAAATATTGCACTAATGTACTTTTCAGTTCTGCATCACCGAAGCTACTCAAAGGATCATTTCAAAAAATTTTAGATAACAACTCAACTTTTAAAGTTAACTTTTTATTTGGGTCATAAATTTACAGTCATATTTCTTTCTGCAGTGTATTTAAAATGTGTTTAACATTTGGCTGACAAAATTACCATCACACAGCTCTGCTTGACAAATGCAAAATTTTGTTACAACGAAAAGCCGCATTGACTTTCTCTCTCTTTTTTACCCATTAGTTCTGCAGCACTAATGAAAGTAAATGCAGCCTCTTTATTTTGTTTTAGAAACCAGGATGTAAACCACAAACAGCAAACATTTTATCCACAAGTTCATGTCTGACGTATTTGCCTCTGGCTGTCTTTACAGACCCTGCATCAAACAACACATAATCAGTTTCTGCACGAGAATCACCTGCTCCACTTGCCTTATCTTGCCTTATCTGTTAAAAAAAAAGGTTTGCTTTGATCCTAATTATATAACATCTCTGTGTGGAACATATAAAATATGTATGGGGCTTTCTGCGGTCAGTACAGTCATTTTGGGTTAGCCAAGGTGGAACATGTCCACCACTGGAGCGTGTCTGTGGACCAGACTTTTCCAAATCAGACGCAAGCACACACATGCTGACACACACAACTGGGTTGAGGACACTTGGAGACGTGGCATTTGTGAAGAGCAGAAAATTGCCCTTTAAAACATCAAGGCTTTGAGCCTTTCATGATTACCAGATTTATTTTTTTGATGATATGTTTCATTTGAAATCAACGATGGACTGAATCAGTGTTACCAGAAAGCATACAGTGCTACTTCTTTGAAAGAATGATGAAAGGGAACGCAAAATATCCACAAATCCAGTGAGTCTTAAAGGGTTTGGCACATGATGCAGAGAGGAAACTAAAATGTGCCTTTGGCATCTTTTTTTTTCACAACACAGATCACGGGGATCTATTTGTGTTACCATAGCCGTAATCCGAAAGGGTAATGAAATTAGTGCAGTTCAAAAGTGGAGCAAGTTGCACACATGTTAGATCTATTCCACTGCCAATGACTTCACCCACCATTAGTGGTATTCCCCTGGCCGTGGATGGACTGTCAGCAAAGAATTGAATTACTGTATGGTCTGTATTCTGTGCATTAGGGACTGCTTTTTTGGGTATGGACTTTGGGACTTTTTCTGTGTAGAGTGAAGTGTTTCTGCACCGCAGTATATTCTAAATGACCACAAGATGGGCCACATGTGACAGGTTCATCAGATTTCACCAAAACTCATTAGTCTGCTAATTTAAAGATAAAATGTTCAGTTCAAGCTTGGTGACTTTTTTAACATATAGGGGGAAACAGAACACACAGCAAAACAAGCCATGTTTTCATGCTATTTCTGACCRTCTAATGAAACCAGATCTATTGTCATTACTTTCAACTCTGCTTTGATCTTTTCTCCTTCCTCTGAAAATCTATAAACTGCTGGAAGCCCTGCTGGTTTCATTAGATAATCACTAACTTTCCTGATGACTAGCTTTTGGATTGTGTTCAATATAAACAAACAAAAGCAGCATTTCTCGAAGAAGTGCTTCTGACCAGTCATTTTTAATATGCAGGTTTTAAAGTAGGATTGTCTTTTTCAGCTTAATTCTACAACCACTGATTGCTGGGGATGTGCTTTCCTGAAACAGAACTTTGGCTCCTGGTGTAAAAATTAAAAAGTTGTTGAGGATTGCTAATTCGGCTGCTTCTTTGCCTTTTTCTTTTGCTTGTTGTAGATTTTTCATTAAAGAAGCATCAATAAAGTAATTTAAAAASTGTTTATTGAAAAACTGAAGTGATGCATTCTGGGYACATGACAGATTTGATTTGTGACRGGAAAAGAAAGCAMGGAGTACAGGAAACTATCGTCGCTTCAAAAATAAGAGCTTGGATTTTAAAATTTTCCAYGTAGTTGCTCCAGTTGACCACTAGATGTCAGTCTTCATCAGCATAACATCTTTAAATCATTTCTGCGTCTCCAACCCTGTTGGCCGATTGCTTCGACCAATTACGTCAACTACTGAGCTCCAGAGTTTGAATTTTTTTTAAAAAGGTGCTCCGATTGTAAAGTAAAATACAACATTTTAGTAAGGCTTACAAACATTAACTGTTTTTGCTGGGATAGGGAGCTCTAAACATTGCCTTYCTGCTACGTAAGCAGACACAAATCATTGTGGGAAATTTGAACCGTGACCCAAAGCAACAGTCAGCAAGGATGTATACCTTTCCAATAAATGTATTTATTTGGGAGGGGTGTTGTTGGACAATCAAGTGCGTTGTGATTCATCAACAGCTATACCTTCCACTGTTCAAGATAATGACTGGTAGAAAATTAATTAATTGTGGTATTCCATTTTAATTTTAGAAAGCACAAGTCTGCTTATCAATTATAAAAATTAGTAAGACCACTAAAGTGCAAATGGAATATTTAGGTCCGCAATTAGCGGATTTGCACTTTAGCGGGCTGGTGCCTACCGATGGTGTTAGCAACGACCGCAAGTTTTAGCTCAGTATCCATAAAACTGAGTTCTTGCCATGTCTTTGTTTGCTAAGGTTGTTTAGCTCTCTTGAATATGGTTGATTCTGAAGCCATTGCAGATGCACAGTCACTGATTACGTTCAGGTCTTTTCATACAAATCTACCTTTGGTTAATCAGTTGTTGTGCTAACAGACAAACACATGTCAAAAACAGACACAGATAATTAGATCATCACCAGCCTTCACAGAGCCCAACAATGATGCATACAGTCAAACTGTGTTTGTCTGCACTAAGTCGCTGCAAGATGAGTCTGATGCAATGTGCTCCTGTATCACACTCTGATATAAATGAGATTATCTCAGACAATTACAGAACACATGACTCCACATCTCCTGCAGGACAGCAACAATCCAGCATCAGGAATCAGTCAAGCAGCTTGTGTCTCGTCTCCATCTGAAACATGGACTTGATGCAAGGATTAATTTAGTTCGGCTGTTTTCTTACATTCTTGATTCGGTCTTAGGTGCATCCRTTTGTTGAAGCAACAGCATTTAAATCATTTCATCTAGTCTGACTGCTGCAACGAAAATTTGTGCAAAGCCCCAGTGATTTACGGATGCATCACATTGACAAGCTATTTGCTCTAATGTTATCAGGAAAGCTGCACATGTGTGAACATTTCTTTAGTCTTGTTTAACTTACACATTCATCAGGCCCACGAGAGTAAAGATGAAATCAAACTTAAAATGGAGACCTCGTGTGAATTATTTAAGAATAAAAGTAACTAAATCTATTGCATTACTTTATAAAGTAARGGAGTTGTTTAACGATAAAGCTTTGTATATGTTGTGTAATGTAATGATTGTTCCACATTTGGTTTACTGTGTTGAAGTCTGGGGGAAAGCATGTAAAACAATTACAAATCCTGTTTTTATTTTGCAGAAAAGAGCTATAAGAATTATCACMAAAAAAAACATGATTACCCATCAAATACATTATTTTGTCAGTTGAATTCATTGAAATTCTATGAGTTGGTTGATTACAGCATTTTGCAGATTATATATAAGGCTCATAAAAATATATTTCCTTTGAACACCCAATCGAATTTTGTTAAGAGACAAAGTTACAACAATTTAAAAGGGACAGAGGTGTTTGTGAAACCTAAAATCCAAACTAGTTTGAAGGAACGATGTACTTCAAGGAATAAAATTGTTGAATATTCAGGAGTATGATATTAATGTATAAGTATAGGAGAATGGTAAAATCCAGTCTGTTGAAGAAATATGAAATGGCATAACATGTATCCTTAAAAACTGTCTGATAAAGATTTTAGTTTTTTATTTTTTTTTCTGTTTTTTATTATTGTTTGAATTTCTTTTGACGTAAAAAGGTGCAGATATTATATGATTTTTTTCTTCCTTCTGCCACCTTTCATTTTATTTTTCATTTGCATTTTTTGTATACTGAATTTGCTTTGTTTTTTTTAATGAAATGAATGAATAAACTAAAAAAAATCAATTTTATCTAATAAACGTCTGTCATCATTATGTACTGATTGGCAAACATGACTCTTCTCAAAACCTAGTAAAAAAAACTCCAACTTACCTGAGAGGCTGATGGAATTAGGAGCAAAGGTAGGTCAAAGCATCCATTAGTTTTTTTTTTCAAAGAACCTGTGAAGAGAAGCTGCTTTAAGTGCGGTCCAGCTGTCTGAGATGCAGTTTACCAAACGGAGCATCAAACTGCAGCTTCCAGCTCCGGAGCATCTTTGCCTCTGTCCGATGTCTGGATCAAAGTGAGACTGCACTCTTCCTGCTTGCATAACAAATACTCTAGACAGCTCCTGTGCTGCAGTTGTGGATCAGACTACTTAACCAGAAGACGCTCTCCATGCTTCGCAAATGGACCCRGAGCTGTTCCAGGTCAAGTCTCCCTGAAGAAGAAAAAATAAGTGCTGATCTAAAACTGGACTGTAAATCTGACGGAATCATCATAAGAAAAGTGTCTCCTGCTCTGTGCCTCATTTCAGGCTGTCAGAATCACATGCATCTTTTTTTTTCCTGCCTGGTGCTCAATGTCCTGAGTCACAGCGAGAGCCAGTGAACTGGACTAATTTGAATTGTCAGTGCATGTTTGTAGCTGGCTGCCTACAGGGCACGGTTTCTCTCAGCACGACCCTCAGTGAGAATCTGGGCCAAAGCTGAAGCAGGTTTAAAGGTGTCAGATCAGGAGTTAAAGACTGACAGGAGCAATGATTAAGTGAATTCACACACTTTTTACAATCTGTGAGAAACCCCCCTTTTGTGGTGTAAACACAGCAAAATGAGTCACTTCGAAAGGAGATTATAAACTAGGAAGGACGTGTGGTGAAACAAATTTAGAGAGCGCCAAAAGCAATGAAACAACACTCACACTTGTGTGAAGATGGAGGCCAATGGGTGGCATGTTGGTGAGGAAATTGCCCGAACTTGAAGTTAAATCGCTCAGCAGGATGACTAAAGTTTATGAGGAAGGATTACAGTCTGACAATTTGAAAATTAGAGCTCTATATGTGCTGACTCAGGCCGATCGGTGAGGATTACCATCCAATTTATGGTGTGRCTGAACACAAAACCCCTGCAATAATCTGAAATTGTTCCACGAACCGGTTTAAACATCGGCTGATCTGACCTTGAGATACAAATTGCCTTCGTTGTGAGATCTCTGAAGCAGGGCTGAACATCATCACGGCCTAATTAAGGGTGTCAAGATAAAGAATCAGAAGGTGCTCACAGAACAAACGACTTGAACTGATTACAAAGTTCTGATCCTTCGCTGTTCTCCCGCAGTTTATGAAACGTGCACTTCACACCCTGATGCGCTCTGTTTTAATGAATAAGCCTCGTCACCTTTTGCATCAGCTCATCTTACAGCCAGCAGTACAAACGCAAAGAAAGCCAGAGGGAATCAGGAAACAGGGTGTGTCTGAACTCCAGCACAACGCACTTACTGTTCAGATGTGACCTCTGCTGACTCCTTCATGGAACTGCATCGCTTCATCATTCATTTTGGCCACGTTGTGAGCAGCAGACAGTGCACTGGATTCATGTAAACATCACATGGAAGGGGCTGTTCACCTCTGACAGCCTGCCAGAATCCCCCTGCCCTTCATGCAATTATCTCATTTCCTCCAATAAGCTGCATCTCAATGCTTATCTTTGCAGACAAATTCATTGTTGTGGAAATGCTGCACGATATTACCCTCCATTTTGGCTATTTGTTATTGAATTACCTGAAGTATTATCATAAAATTATTAGGATTTAGRAAGTCAGATATTTGCACAAGATATGCTTTGCCACTTTTGTTGCACAAATCTAAAATGTGTGTTTTCATTTGGCAAAACTGTTTGCTTTAGAAAATATACTAACTTTTCACATTTTATGCAGAGTCTGAAAGGAATTYCAACATTATATCAGATGATGCAATTTAAAGAAAGACATGTCTCATTTAAGACTTTTAAGTGGAAATATAAGAAATGCTGCAAAGAAGCATAAAAACAGAACTCTGCATTCAAACACACAGCTTTTGTAAAACACTAAATGTTGGATCTATTTTCAGTCCCTTTGGTTGTTTCCATATGTAAACAAACACACACAGTAGTTGACATTTTAGCAAAAAATGTGGCTTATTTCTTATTTTTATTTATTTAAAAACACACAAACCATTAACATGAGAATAATACTCAATTTCTTACTTTATTTAATATTTTTCCAGTCTTCACAACGTTGCAATAAGTTTTTTTTTAAGTGCATACTTATTACCTATAAATCACTGCAGTTAAATTAAAAAAGACATTCTGTATAAAAYGACATTCCATCTGCAGAAATAACATGTGACATAAATCTAAAATGATGCTCATTAGCCACAGTTGACTGAACATTAAACAYGCGGGCCAAATGCACAGCATCACATCCTATTCCCAGTGTGTGAAACTCCTATTCTCACCTCTTCCAGCTCCTCCTCCTCCTCAGCAGATGACTTGGCGAAGCTTCAGTCAAAACGTTGCCAAAACAGAACCATCAGCAGAGGASTCCTGCCTTCAAATCAGACCAGGAGTGCCCGATAAGAAAGGCTGCAATGCCTGCATATAAAACTCCACCAACCACTCTTCTGCTCACTGATGGATGAACCCTGGTTGYCTCTAATCCTCCTTTGCGTCCTATCTTCTCCTCTTCCTTTGGATTATTCAGCTGAGTTTCCCTGAGCCCACCCCCCACCCTCACCCCCCTCGTTGCTCCCTCCATCATGAGGAGAAACACATGCACACATGCTCCACAACGAAGCTGGGCGGATGTCCACAGAGTAGAGACAGAGGGCTAGTGTTGGCCATCGCAGGCTATAAATAGGCTTCTTGAGTTCATCATTGTCTCTTCCTATGATGGTGAAGAGCCTGGAGGGCTCAGAGAGGGAGGCAGACCAAAGCAGCATCTTTATCTGACAACTCCCTCACTGCTGGCTAAACCTTCCCCTGTCCTGTTTTTCTAGGGAGATAATTACTCTGAAGGTGCACATTAATTGTTTTTTGTTTCTTTTACTGAAAGACAAAGCAAAAATAATTCCTAAAACCTGGCGCTCAAGATTTTTTTTTTGGACTATAAATGGTGAAAGATAACATGTGCAACAATTCCACCACAAAGGAACAGTTCCCTTCCTCCATGATTGTTAAATGTCACAGTTTACAAGATCACCAGCAAAATGTCAGCGATGCTCTTCAGACAGAACTGGTTCAAAACGAAGTCTTTGCATGTTGTGTTTGTATTTGAACCCTGAATATTCACTTTACAGAGGGTGTTACTTATCAACTAATTAAAAAGAAAGGTTTTCCAGAATTTAACAGAATTCCATCAGAATTCTATCAAATTTTGTGTATTTCAGTAGGCATCTTTTATGTACAGCTACTTATGTCACACTCACACTTATATATATAT